AGCTGTGGACCGACATCAAGGACGGGGCCAAGCTCATCATGGTGCCTGGTGAGCGCTTCTTGTCTTGGTGCGTATTAAAGCTTTGGGTAACAGTGATATAAGCATAGCTGTGGACCGACATCAAGGACGGGGCCAAGCTCATCATGGTGCCTGGTGAGCGCTTCTTGTCTTGGTGCGTATTAAAGCTTTGGGTAACAGTGATATAAGCATAGCTGTGGACCGACATCAAGGACGGGGCCAAGCTCATCATGGTGCCTGGTGAGCGCTTCTTGTCTTGGTGCGTATTAAAGCTTTGGGTAACAGTGATATAAGCATAGCTGTGGACCGACATCAAGGACGGGGCCAAGCTCATCATGGTGCCTGGTGAGCGCTTCTTGTCTTGGTGCGTATTAAAGCTTTGGGTAACAGTGATATAAGCATAGCTGTGGACCGACATCAAGGACGGGGCCAAGCTCATCATGGTGCCTGGTGAGCGCTTCTTGTCTTGGTGCGTATTAAAGCTTTGGGTAACAGTGATATAAGCATAGCTGTGGACCGACATCAAGGACGGGGCCAAGCTCATCATGGTGCCTGGTGAGCGCTTCTTGTCTTGGTGCGTATTAAAGCTTTGGGTAACAGTGATATAAGCATAGCTGTGGACCGACATCAAGGACGGGGCCAAGCTCATCATGGTGCCTGGTGAGCGCTTCTTGTCTTGGTGCGTATTAAAGCTTTGGGTAACAGTGATATAAGCATAGCTGTGGACCGACATCAAGGACGGGGCCAAGCTCATCATGGTGCCTGGTGAGCGCTTCTTGTCTTGGTGCGTATTAAAGCTTTGGGTAACAGTGATATAAGCATAGCTGTGGACCGACATCAAGGACGGGGCCAAGCTCATCATGGTGCCTGGTGAGCGCTTCTTGTCTTGGTGCGTATTAAAGCTTTGGGTAACAGTGATATAAGCATAGCTGTGGACCGACATCAAGGACGGGGCCAAGCTCATCATGGTGCCTGGTGAGCGCTTCTTGTCTTGGTGCGTATTAAAGCTTTGGGTAACAGTGATATAAGCATAGCTGTGGACCGACATCAAGGACGGGGCCAAGCTCATCATGGTGCCTGGTGAGCGCTTCTTGTCTTGGTGCGTATTAAAGCTTTGGGTAACAGTGATATAAGCATAGCTGTGGACCGACATCAAGGACGGGGCCAAGCTCATCATGGTGCCTGGTGAGCGCTTCTTGTCTTGGTGCGTATTAAAGCTTTGGGTAACAGTGATATAAGCATAGCTGTGGACCGACATCAAGGACGGGGCCAAGCTCATCATGGTGCCTGGTGAGCGCTTCTTGTCTTGGTGCGTATTAAAGCTTTGGGTAACAGTGATATAAGCATAGCTGTGGACCGACATCAAGGACGGGGCCAAGCTCATCATGGTGCCTGGTGAGCGCTTCTTGTCTTGGTGCGTATTAAAGCTTTGGGTAACAGTGATATAAGCATAGCTGTGGACCGACATCAAGGACGGGGCCAAGCTCATCATGGTGCCTGGTGAGCGCTTCTTGTCTTGGTGCGTATTAAAGCTTTGGGTAACAGTGATATAAGCATAGCTGTGGACCGACATCAAGGACGGGGCCAAGCTCATCATGGTGCCTGGTGAGCGCTTCTTGTCTTGGTGCGTATTAAAGCTTTGGGTAACAGTGATATAAGCATAGCTGTGGACCGACATCAAGGACGGGGCCAAGCTCATCATGGTGCCTGGTGAGCGCTTCTTGTCTTGGTGCGTATTAAAGCTTTGGGTAACAGTGATATAAGCATAGCTGTGGACCGACATCAAGGACGGGGCCAAGCTCATCATGGTGCCTGGTGAGCGCTTCTTGTCTTGGTGCGTATTAAAGCTTTGGGTAACAGTGATATAAGCATAGCTGTGGACCGACATCAAGGACGGGGCCAAGCTCATCATGGTGCCTGGTGAGCGCTTCTTGTCTTGGTGCGTATTAAAGCTTTGGGTAACAGTGATATAAGCATAGCTGTGGACCGACATCAAGGACGGGGCCAAGCTCATCATGGTGCCTGGTGAGCGCTTCTTGTCTTGGTGCGTATTAAAGCTTTGGGTAACAGTGATATAAGCATAGCTGTGGACCGACATCAAGGACGGGGCCAAGCTCATCATGGTGCCTGGTGAGCGCTTCTTGTCTTGGTGCGTATTAAAGCTTTGGGTAACAGTGATATAAGCATAGCTGTGGACCGACATCAAGGACGGGGCCAAGCTCATCATGGTGCCTGGTGAGCGCTTCTTGTCTTGGTGCGTATTAAAGCTTTGGGTAACAGTGATATAAGCATAGCTGTGGACCGACATCAAGGACGGGGCCAAGCTCATCATGGTGCCTGGTGAGCGCTTCTTGTCTTGGTGCGTATTAAAGCTTTGGGTAACAGTGATATAAGCATAGCTGTGGACCGACATCAAGGACGGGGCCAAGCTCATCATGGTGCCTGGTGAGCGCTTCTTGTCTTGGTGCGTATTAAAGCTTTGGGTAACAGTGATATAAGCATAGCTGTGGACCGACATCAAGGACGGGGCCAAGCTCATCATGGTGCCTGGTGAGCGCTTCTTGTCTTGGTGCGTATTAAAGCTTTGGGTAACAGTGATATAAGCATAGCTGTGGACCGACATCAAGGACGGGGCCAAGCTCATCATGGTGCCTGGTGAGCGCTTCTTGTCTTGGTGCGTATTAAAGCTTTGGGTAACAGTGATATAAGCATAGCTGTGGACCGACATCAAGGACGGGGCCAAGCTCATCATGGTGCCTGGTGAGCGCTTCTTGTCTTGGTGCGTATTAAAGCTTTGGGTAACAGTGATATAAGCATAGCTGTGGACCGACATCAAGGACGGGGCCAAGCTCATCATGGTGCCTGGTGAGCGCTTCTTGTCTTGGTGCGTATTAAAGCTTTGGGTAACAGTGATATAAGCATAGCTGTGGACCGACATCAAGGACGGGGCCAAGCTCATCATGGTGCCTGGTGAGCGCTTCTTGTCTTGGTGCGTATTAAAGCTTTGGGTAACAGTGATATAAGCATAGCTGTGGACCGACATCAAGGACGGGGCCAAGCTCATCATGGTGCCTGGTGAGTGTCTGAGCCAAGCTCGTCAGGGCAAGAGTCGTACACTCATGGCCGCTCTTTTTCTCTTTCCAATGAAAGCAATGGGGAAGATACTTGGTGAATATTTGGATGGTGTTGGTGTCTGAGTTAGCTAAAGGATCACTTTCAGTTCCTTTCTATCTAGTGAAAGCATTGGAACAAGTCTAGGCGAATGTGGAGGTGGTGTTTTTGTGATTATTTCCCTTTCTTGAAAAATGCTTGGAGGTTTGTGTGTGTGGTTATTGGAGCATCGACTTGGCAACGGGATGGGCTCATTATTCGACATACCATGCAATACGGCATTTTCTCTGCTTCTTCCACTACCCTTCCCGGCCCTCCTCTCCCTCTTCCCCACAACCCCTCGCTCCACGCTCTCTTCAGGCGAATCGTGTCGTGCCCCTGAGCCAGGGTATTTCCGCCTCTGCTTCTCATCGGTTCCCTACGAGCATCTGGAAGTCGCCTGTGCTAGGCTATTTGCCTTCTTCAACGCAAGAGCAGCCAAATCTCTTGAAACGCCTGCTGGATAATGTACGGAGGCGCATGAAGATGAGGCTGTAATGTGTGTCAGTAGATGATGTTTTATTGGCTATGGTTTTGTTTCTCCAACTTGATTATGAATGGGGATGCTATTCGGATTTATTTTTTTTCGCTTACAAAGTTATTTCAAGCCATCAAGAAGGGTCTGTTTGAAACATGCCCACATGGAGGAGCTGAAATGTTTGACTAAAATGCTTATTATCAAGTTTTTTTTTATTCTGGGTGTGCAATGCCGTGTATGTATAAATTTGTTTTTTTGTAACATTTTCAAGGGGGCACCTCTCTATGCTGCTTCGCACGAGTCGTGTTCCATTGCACGAAGCTGTGTCGCTGACCGTTCAACATTTCGCAGCTTTCGAAAAGTCTGATAGAATGGATGGATGGCCAGCGTGTGTCGTTGTTGGTCTCCCGACAGAAAGCACCACACACAAACTGCCACTTTCCCCAAACCTCAGGATTCGCAGATCTGTTCGCAAAAGCATCTGGTCGGCTAACGACGATGGCGATGTGTAACAAACCACACAACCACCGCCACAAACCAGCTTACACGAACATCTGCGAATAATTCAGCGGTGAAATACCGCTTCAACCAACCAACTCACCACTCTGCTGACCTGTCCTTAGCTGAGCTGGGTCAGCCGTTAGTAGGGTTTGCTTTGCTCTCCTCTGCCTCACAGAAACAGTGGAGAGGGGAGCAGAGCACAGTAGGCAACACCGCAATCGTACTGTACGTCAATGGATCTGGCCCGCAATCGCAACTCCGCCTGTGCTGCACTGCAGGGATAGCAACAGCACCCTTCACCCTCGGGATAGCTCCTTGCTCCGTCTGCTGCTCTCTACTCTATATTCTCTGCTTTCTGCTCTTTGCATATTTTACTATGCCCGTCCTCTTACAGCTCTTATTAGGTTCCTCGCTCGCTTGGTCCCCGTAATTTTTTTCCCTATGCTCCGCGCCGTCCTGCTCCTTACTGCTTGCTGATTATGCGTGTGAGTGGAACTTTTTCCTTGCCGAGATAACGAAGGATCCGCGATTATCAAACAATCATGTAAATCGTGGGTAGCTCCTTCCCCGTACCCTATTTACAGCCAGGTTTACTGCTGTAGCCTGTTCCGAAAATGTGCTGGATTTTCTGTAGATACGCTCGTCATGTAAATACTCCCTCGTTCACTGGTCTTTATTTTCTCCTTGGGGGGTAAATGAATTAGTTTCGCGTTGCCATAGTTTTAGGTCTTAAGCTTCTTAACTGTTCCTCGGTCCGCGGAGGGGAAGCAGGCGCTTTCTCGCTCCCCATCCGTTACTTTCGCCAAACGGCATATTCGCCAAAGTCTGCTGCAGTTCGCCCTAGTTCGCCAGCATGTACTCCGGATTGCAGCAGGAGCTGGGGGTCACAGAAGACGACAACTCCGCTGATCTCGAGCCGTCGCCGCAGAGCCTACCGGCGGCCGGCACGGGCAACACGAGCACTGGCGGCAGCAGCTTCCCGGCGGGACTGAGGGTACTAGTGGTCGATGATGACCCGCTCTGCCTCATGATTCTCGAGCGCATGCTTCGCCAATGCGCCTACACTGGTACGCCTGTTACGCTGTAACCCGGTTTTCAATTTTAATTTTCGCGACGTTTTTTTTTTTTCCTCTCCCACGTCGCGACCGCGCCCTTGTTCCCGCGCTCTCTTGAGTCCCCCGCCAATCGGCGTGTCGCCCTGTTTCGTCGCATTTCGTCGTTTGTGGCGAATGTAGCTCGCGTATCGCCCTGAGCGACTAGCGAGTGCGCGACGGATGCGCGTCACGGCATTCCCCGCCGCTGGTCGAAGGCGTAACACGAGTCGGTTCGGGTCAAGTCTACGCGGCAGTCCTGCTCGCTCGAGCAACCTGTGCCACATAGTCCAGTTTCGGTTTCTACTTTCAGCGAAAATGACTTTTAAGTCGGTTCAAAAGCCCTCGCTCTTTAGAGCAACCCATGCTGCTTACTCCAATGCATGTTTCTACTTTTAGCGAGTATCGTTCCAGAGAGAACTGTTCTGGGGTGAGGGGGGGGGGGTGGTGGGGGGAGGACAACAGGTTGGGGAGAAGGGGGAGGAAGAGGGGAGTGGGGGGGGATGGGCGGTTGTGTGGAACATAGGGTTTAAATAGGCTCGAGTTCGAATTTCCAAAGTGGTTAACAATGTTATAGTGCGGTACAGTGCCGAGGCGTGTCGAACGGGGGCAGCTCGCGTCTGGAGGGTTCAGGTCCTAAAGGTATTGCGTGTTCCGGTCCTGTTTGTTGTTTGCCTAATGTTACTCCTTCCGTCGGCGCCGCCTTTCCCCCCGGTTGTTGAGTCGACTCAAATGTCACCTGAAAAAACGTACTCATGTGCGCTGTGCGTTGCCGTGTTCATGCGCCGGCCGGTTGGATAATCGCATGCCTTTTGTGGCTTCGCTTTCCGCAGTGCTCACAGGCAGTTTCCATTCGCCGATACCGCTTTTTGTAGTAGGCACATGCTTAGGGTCATTGGCGTACGTGCTATTGCTTTCTGTTTTTATTGTTGTTATTACTTCTCCCTATTGTTGTTATCGTGTGCGCGTGCGGGCGTGCATTGGCTGATGTTCTCATTTCGCCTTCCCCCTGCCTTCTCCGCCCCCCCCCCCCCTTCTCCGCCCCCCGCCTTCTCCCCCCCCCGCCAGTGACAACATGCAGCCGCGCAGCAACGGCGCTGGCGCTGCTGCGGGAGAACCGGGACAAGTTCGACCTGGTGATAAGCGACGTGTACATGCCGGACATGGACGGCTTTAAGCTCCTCGAGCTCATCGGCCTCGAGCTCGACCTCCCCGTTATCAGTGCGTTGCGCTCCCCTTCCCGTGAGCTCTTGCTCTCTCCCTCGCGCCCTCGCTCTCTCCCTCGCGCCCTCGCTCCCTTCCGCCCGCCCGCCCGCCCGCCCGCCCGCCCGCCCGTCCGCTCTCGCTCGCTTTTCCTTTCTTTCTCCCTGCGTCCGTGCTGCGGGAGAACCGCGGCGAGCTCGACCGGGTGGGCGGTGAGCGCGTGCACTCTCTGTTGAGTTGAGTCGGCTTAAAGGTGATCAGCGACCTGTACATGCTTGAACCGACATGGACGGCTTTAAGCTCCTAGAGCTCATCGGCCTCGAGCTCGACCTCCCCGTTATCAGTGCGCTCGTCTTCTCTTGCACGTGCACGAGCGCTTGCGCTTGCACTTGCACTTGCACTTGCAGTTGCACTATCTCTCTCTCTCTCTCTCTGTGTATCGTTGTTACTCCTCCTTCCGCACTGCCCTGTTTCTCTTGCTCTCTTCTTCTGTCTCTTTCGTCCTTTCTTTCGTTCTCACTCTCTTCTCTGTCCCCCCTCCCTCCCCCCTTCCAACTGTTCCACGTCCCCCGCGCTCCATTTGTCGCTCCGTGGTTTCTCTGTGTATGCAGCTTACCTCTTCCTTCCGTCTATGCAGCCTACCATTTCGTTGACTCCAATAGTGCTGCTGCTGGAGGCACCCCTGTTTCTCCCCTCTTCCAAACAACCCTACCCTCCCTATTCCTTCCCCTTGCAACCCCCACACCCCCCTCCCCCCCTCCCCCCCTTCCCCTCCCCCAGTGATGAGCGCGAACGGGGAGACGAGCGCGGTGATGAAGGGCATAACCCACGGCGCGTGCGACTACCTCTTAAAGCCCGTGCGCATCGAGGAGCTGCGCAACATCTGGCAGCACGTCGTGCGCAAGCGCTCCTCCTCCTCCTCTCTCTTACTCTACGCACCCATCTCCCCCTCCTCCTCCCTCCACCTCCGTTCCTCCCGTCTCCAACCCCCTTGCTCAACCCCCCGCCACCCCTCCCCCACCCCTCCCCCACCCCTCCCCCATCCCTTCCCCACCCTCCCCCCCTCCCCCAGTGATGAGCGCGAACGGGGAGACGAGCGCGGTGATGAAGGGCATAAAGCACGGCGCGTGCGACTACCTCTTAAAGCCCGTGCGCATAGAGGAGCTGCGCAACATCTGGCAGCACGTCGTGCGCAAGCGCTCCTCCTCCTCCGCCGCCGCCCCCCCGCGCGACCCCTTCAAACAGGAGCCGGGGGGGGACTGGGACGAGACGGCTGCAGGCGGGGGGGGTGGCGGAGGCGGAGGCGGGGGCGCGACAGGCGCGACGAGCATGGTCGGGGGAGGCGGAGGCGGAGGGGGAGCGGGAGGGAGTGGCGGCGGCGGGTTGCTGAATCAGGGGCGGGATGGTGGAGGCGGGGGGGGAGGTGGCGGAGGCGGGGGCGGGGGCGGGGGCGGAGCTGGGGAGAGTGATGGGGACGGGGCGGGGAGCAAGCGCAAGAAGGAGGAGTATCTGGAGGACGCGTCTACGCTGAAGAAGGCGCGTGTGGTGTGGTCCATCGAGCTGCACCAGCAGTTCGTTAATGCTGTTAATCGGCTTGGAGTGGACAGTAAGTGCTGCTTGCTGCGTGCATTGAGTGTTTCCCCCCGCCTGTGCTGCCCCTCGCCTGCGTCGATAGTGCGTGCTGCCTGCTGTGTGCTGCCTGTTGTGAGTGTTGCCCTCTGCCTCCTGCCTGCTCGATGATGCTCAAGAAGGCGCGTGTGGTGTGGTCCATCGAGCTGCACCAGCAGTTCGTTAATGCTGTTAACAGGCTCGGCGTGGACAGTAAGTGCCCCTGCTGCTTGCTGCCTGCTGCCTGTTCCTTCCTTTACCTTGAGATATATATATATATATATATATATATATATATATATATTTTCTTTTCTATTTCTTGTGTATTTCGTTCTTCTTGATGAGGCGCATGAGAAGGTGAATGCATGAGTGCGGTCATTCTAGTGGACGTTCTTCAAGAGAGGCGGTGCCGAAGCGAATATTGGACGTATGAACGTGCTCTTGAGATTTGCATGTCAAAAGTGCTTCTCAAAAGTGATTACAACAGGACTCACTCAGAACACGGGCATGCTCAATGCTCTTCCCGCCTTTCCCTTCGCGCCCTTCCCTTTTACCCCTGTCCCGCCCGTCCCCACCAAAGGCGGAGCCCAAGCGCATACTGGTAATCATGAAAGCGCAAGGACTCACTCGGGAGTCCCGCATGTCTTAAACCTCCAGGCTCTAGCTCACCTCACCGCCCGGTCCTGAACCCTGCCACTTTGCTCCGTTCCCCTTCTTCCTCGCGTCTCGCCCCCCACCAGAGGCGGTGCCCAAGCGCATTTTGGAGATCATGAACGTGCAGGGACTCACTCGGGAGAACGTCGCCTCTCATCTGCAGGTGCGTCCGTGGTTCCTCTGGTTACCCTGCTCGCTGCTAGTAGACTGAATCCCTGGCTGCTGCTGCGTTTAATAGGCTGCTGCTCCATGGGCTCAGGAAAGGGGGGGTGGCGGGAAGGGGGAAAGGGGTAGTGGGTAGGGCTTCCAGGAGACGGGGCTGGTAAGGAAAGGGGGCCTGCTGCGGAAGAGACAGGTTGAAGGAAAGCGAAGAGACATTCGGGGAGCGTACCTCCCCGTCTCCTTCCCCACACCCCCCCCCCCCTCCCTATCGCAGAAATACCGGCTGTATCTGAAGCGGCTAAGCGGGGTGAACCCCCAGCCGCACCCAGTGGCGTCCTTCCAAGCCACAGAGGGCAGTCTCTTTGGAGGCACCCTGCAGGTGCAGCCTGCTGGCACCCGCACCACCAAAGCCCCTGCCATGCGTCTCCGTCACTCCCACTCTCCGTCTCTCCATCTCTTCCCCCCCCACCCTTCCCCCACCCTTCCACCCACTATCGCAGAAATACCGGCTGTATCTGAAGCGGCTAAGCGGGGTGAACCCCCAGCCGCACCCAGTGGCGTCCTTCCAAGCCACAGAGGGCAGTCTCTTTGGAGGCACCCTGCAGGTGCAGCCTGCTGGCACCCGCACCACCAAAGCCCCTGCCATGAGCCTCGCGGCTGCTGCTGCTGCTTCCTCTGCTGGGTTGACTGGTGGCGGCGGGGGAGCAGGAGGGGGAGGGGGAGGGGGAGCGGGAGGGGGGATGGGTCTGGGGGGAGCTGGTGGGGGGTTAGGGGCGGGGGCAGGGGCGGATGTGCTTTCTGGGCTTGCTGCTGCTGCAGGGCTGGGGAATCTTGGGATGGGTGGTGGCGGTGCTGCGGCTGCGGCGGCCGCTGCAGCTGCAGCGGCAGCGCTGGTTGCCGGAGGGGGTCTGGACCCCTCCACTCTAGCCACAATAGCACAGCTGCAGGCTCTGCAGCAGCAGGAGCAGGAGCAGCAGCAGCAGCAACAACAACAGCAGCAGCAGCAGCAGCAGCAGGAGGCAGCGTCGTCAACTGTAGGCTCGCATTCGCTTGCAGGCCTGTCAGGTCTTGGAGGGGCAGGAGGACTAAGCAACCAAGCCATTGCAGCTGCAGCAGCAGCAGGGTTGCTTGGCGG